CAAAAAAAAAAATTGTAATTATTTTTTAACTTGGAAAATAAATGGCAGGGGGCGGGGCCTCAATGGGCAGTCAATGGTAAGCAAGTAGGGGTCTCTGCAGACGAGTGGGCGTGTCACAACAAAAGGCAATTCTAAAGCGACACACCTGATTTGACAGACTTTTTTAAAGAGACACACCTGACTGGACAAGCAAAAAAAAGGGGCGATACCATACGGCACCACCTGATTGGACAAGAACAAAAGGGGCGTCACCGTACGGCACCACCTGATTGGACAAGAACAAAAGGGGCGTCACCGTATGGCATCACCTGATTGGACAAGAACAAAAGGGGCGTCACCGTATGGCACCACCTGATTGGACAAGAACAAAAGGGGCGTCACTGTATGGCACTACCTCATTGGACAAGAACAAAAGGGGCGTCACCGTACGGCACCACCTGATTGGACAAGAACAAAAGGGGCGTTACCGTGCGGCACCACTTTTTCTGGAGAACCCTACTTGGGTCACATTTCTCCTGGTTAACCTTAGTGTTGGGTCAGGGTCAGGCTGTATAGAGATCGAGCAGGATCTAAGGATACCGTCATGTAGGCCTCATAGCCCACAGTGTTTATGGTTTAGACACGCCCACTTTGATTCCACAGATAACCCCTTCTCGTGGTAAGTAGCCAGTTGCCCATCTCTGACCCAAACAATACTTTTTAACCTTCTGCCTGATGGAAGAGAGCTAAAAAGCTGTGTACAAGATGGGTCTTCAGCAATTTTCGGTCCAGATCTAAGAAGAGTTGTGAGTCAATAATATCAGGACACTCTGGGCCAATAAATTTGATGCAGCTCTGACAACCATCACAGCTGACTTGTCCTCAGCTGAACAACACACTAAGCTGTTTTAGTAACAGTACTGTAAAAACATGCAGCATCCCAGATCTAGACATCTTTAAGTTCTTAAAAATAAGAGTTACTGGTGGGCTTTTTGCACAATAAGGCTAAAATTTACCTTTCGTTTAAGACTAGAGGACATGGTGATACTTGCTGTGTGTGCATCACTCCAGTGAGACTCGTCTGTCCCTTAGTTTCATCCTTACAGACAATCTGTTCCATTAGTGTTGTAGTTGGTCAGAGTGTGTAAAACTGCACATATTGTGGTACTATTTCTGTTTAAAGTGGTTCCACAAGCTGCTGGATCAGGGTCTGGACTTGCACACACCAATTTTTGACTTTTGAGATTTATTTAGAGTGATTTTACCATATTTAAAATCTTTAAGGAGTATTTTGTGTAGATTTTTTACTTACAGTCAAATCTGAAAAAAACCATTTCAATTCTAGCTTGTATGGCAAGAACTCAGAATACCAAAGACTGATAGTGTTTATAAATTTGTGTCACATATCTGTAAGAAAATTTAAATTTTGTCAAACATCCTGAAGTGAATGAATGCTTAAGTGTTGGTGTGTCCAAACTTTTGCCTTGTTCTGAGTTATTATTGTGATTCATTTCCCATCCAAGTCATCTCAACTTTGCCACGCTTCTCCTCCCGCATACTTTGTCCTAGAGCTGCCATTGTAATTTATATCTGTAAAGCTCCTGTGCCAAATGATGGCTATGCCTTTTGGTGCCTGTAAAACTTATAGTTTTTGAAATATTAATGTTTAATAAATTATAATGGCAGTCAATAGAGCCTTGTATTGGTCCAATACTGCCCCCTGCTGCCTCTACACAATATGGTACTGCACAATAGTTTTATAATATTTAAACTCAGTAGTTCAGTGATTACAATATTAATATGATTGTATTTTGATGTTTTACTGTAATACAGTCTTTATGTTGTCCTATTGCTGTAATATACTGTATTGCACTTAAGTGTCAATAATTGCATTGGCAAGGTAAACTTTTTCTGTATACATACAATCAAATCCCTGGGATTGTCCTCTGCCACATCTCCTATGGTCTCATGATGAGCACTGTGGGCTTTCACGTGGGAGATCAGGGTTCAAATCCAGCTACTGCAACTTTAACAAAAATCTCTTCAAACTTCATATTGTCACACAGTTACCTTAATTACAAACACCTGCTGACGTGACAGGCAGAAGCTGGTTTAGAAAACATATTTGATCCTGGTCAAAGCTCATTCTGCAAGTCCATTGCTGCAGGCAAAGCCATGCTACATGGCAATGCACACTTGTTTTTACATCGTAAAAACCCATGTCTAGTTCTGTTTGTGATCATCCTAATTAATGGTCTGTTGACCCCTGCTGTTTCTCTTTCAGCTTCAGAATGGCTCAAGATGACAAAGATCCAGTGCCAGCAGCTGGGACCCTCTCTGTGGGCCAGCTGCAGTCACACCTCAAGATGGAACCCAAGACTCTCGGGGTGAGCGTGAAGCATCGTTACTGATGAAGCCGAGGTTAAGAAGTGAAGATCAGTGAGCAGCAGTAATGTGGGCTGTGGGTGGAGTGGATGGACATGAGTCAGGGCTGACTCCTGACAGAAGGACATCTGCAAGAGTTATAGGGGAAAGTTTACAAGATGGTAAACTTGTGATGTATGGTCTGTAGACAGGATGTGGCAACGGTGAAGGTTTTCATTGGGACCAAATGGGACAGGGTTAGAAGTGAGGGAGAGCTCAGTTTGGGTTGTTTGGAGACAACGTTAGGGAGACGAGGCTGAGTACTGGATGTTATGGGAGGAGAAAACAAGGCTGACCACAGAGGAGGATCATAGTAATGCAGGGGATCCAAACTATGGCACGCAGGCCAACTGTGGCCCGCGGTACCGTTTTTATTGGCCCTCAGCAAAATCTGAAAATGTAATTGAATATGCCCCTCACAAGAAGCAGTTCATTTATTGCGGAGCCTCTAACTCCGGCTCTGAGCATCTGATCCGGGCGGAAGAGGGCTTATTTTAAAGTTCTGGATCTGCGCTACAATCTGGTGGTGGTTGCAAGTTCCTGGGACATTCCCCCGCAGAGATACAGTATAAGAATTCAAATGTCGGCGGGCGAGCTCCAGCGGGTGAAACGGCTGATTTCCAGCACGGGGCTGCTGGTGCTGATGCAGGGCAATAAAAGGAAGAGATCCAGTCAGGTGGAACCAGTCCTGGATGCTGAGCACCAGGTTTTATAGCCGCCTGCCTGCTAAAAACCCCTCGGGCGATAATTCTGCAATAATGCAAACAATTCAGAAACCCACCTGATGGATCTGTTCCAGGCAATAAAAGGAACAGATCTGATCAGGTGAAACCGGTCCTGGAGGCTCAGCACCGGGTTTTATAGCTGCCTGCCTGCTGGAGCCACTGGTGGGCGATATTTCTATAAATGGATAAAAATCACAAATCACAAACCACCGTGACCTTGTGCCCAATAGGTGAGTTAGAAATACACACATTATTGATGTATCAATATGTCACTTCTAGTTTTCTATATTTGGTCCTCACTAAAAAACATCTGGACACCCCTGTAGTAATGGTACTGTTAGACAGAGGAGCATTATGGGGTAAGGTAAAATGGAGATAAATGGTCTGTGGTGATCTCTGAAGATGGTAAAGCAGATCCACTTGTGGAGTAATAACCAGATGTATTTTAATAACCACTGACAGACTGGTCAATGGTTCTTGAGCCTCTACTACTAAGGTTTTACTTAAGTAGGTTCTAGTTATTGGCAAAACACATCTTTTTCTTATTTAGGGACTAATAAAAAAAAACCTACAAAAAAACTTGAAACAAAGTTAAAGGCTAAGTAAGTCAGAAGTCTGTTGACTTTTCAAACTGGCAAAGCTGAATGTTTGCTAATTTTCTAGTCATGAATTGCTGCTTGGCTCATCTCTTCCCGTACCTTCCTCCAGGCAATCCAGATTGTTATTGGGGCTTTGATCCTCTGTCTGAGCGCCTCTGTGCTCCAGCTCTACGAGGTCCACTTTACTGGGGATGTGGCCCTCATTCTTGTCGTTGTCCTGCAGGTCTGTCTGAACAGTGTCTTATAACGTCATCTTTTTTCTGTGATCTTTTAATCCACATCTCAGTGTACTTTAAATAATTTATATTATAATTTTATCAGCTCACCCTGTCTGGCTCAGTACTGATCCACAGTGGGAGGAGGCCTTCTCTGTTTTGGGTGAGTGACTCACACACAAACTTTAGTTCTAAGCTTTTAAACTACATAACAACCCTCAAACGAGTTGCTCTCCCTGTTGAAGCATGAACTCTCTTGCAAATCACTCACTCCCCTCTCTTCTGAGGATCATTGGGGCCTTTGTTGGCCTGGCCCACATGAGAAATGATTTGTTCACAGGCATACTGCTGAAGAAATTTATTTAGTCATTTAGAAACTGATTTTAAAAGCACTACACCAGAAATTCTTAGCGCCACCTTGAGGGCCTCAAAAGAACAACAGTTTTTAACTTTGGGCCGCAGAGGGCCGTGGGACCACATCGATTTTGAATAAGGTGCAATACACTTTCTCACCACTAGTAGCAGTAGTGCACCGCTCAGATGTATAACAGCTTTTTTAAAATGTAGAAGAAGAACCTTAGAAACCTGCCGAGAATGGAAACTTATTTTAAATGAAAAGTAGAAGCAAAAATGAAGGTAACCCGTAAAAAAAGGCTAAAGTTTATCACTAACATGAAGTAAGCTTCTGTTTCTATCATGCAGTATTTTAAAAGTTCAAAACATTATCAAATACAGTTGCAGATACAACTATATTTTAATTTGTTTCAGTTCCAGTTTATTCATTTCATTTCATTTTCATTTAAACGCAAATAAAATACATTCAAAACAGAAAACAAAGTGATAGAAAACAAAAAAATACATACACATATACAGTAAATTGAACTTAATTAAAATAAAATGAAGGGTAGCAGAAGAAGAAAAATCTTGTAATATCTGCCTCCATTTCCAAATATAACTTTAAACAATACTAATCAAATAATGGTTTAAATCAGTATATTGTCAATAAGTCTTCAATTAACAAAATAAGAACAGAATTAAAATAAAATTAAATGATGGGTAGTAGAAGAAGAAAAATCGTATATCTGCCCCCATTTCAAAATATAACATTAAACAATACTAATCAAATAATAGTTTAAATCAGTATATTGTCAATAAGTCTTCAATTAACAAAATAAGACCAAAAAAAGAAAAAAATTTAAAAATTAAAAATCCGCTTACTCTTTTTTTCGAGCAACAAATAGTATTAATAATAATAAACCAGGATATAAATACATTTAACTTGAAAAGGAGTGGTATATCCCTATTCAATATATAAATTATGTGGTCATTACTGACATTTGGAATGTAATAAGTCAGACAACCACATAATAAAAACAATGTCTTAACAAAATTAACATGTATGTTGCAGTAAGGATGATATAAAATCAATAATGTAATACAATGCCTTATGAATTACA